GTTCTAGCCTCGTGGATACAGGCCTTATGTCATAGTTGCAAATGTAAAAAGCGCTTCAGTATTTAATGCTAACATTATAGGTGAAGATTATATTACATGAAAAGATATGGAAATATAAATATGAATAAATACAAGGTGCGACGTGAAAACAGCCTTGTGCAAATATTCCGATAATATTTAACGATATAAATGTTGCGAATGCGTATTTGCGCTGTAATAATTGTTACATATAATAATATTTGTATAATGAAATTAAAACACGATAGTGTTTTCGATCAAGGAAACACGCTGTTCGATGACTCGAAACGACGATTGTTTCAGGGCCATGCTATTGTCGGGAGGGGACGCAGCTTGGACGGCCGGGGACACGGAGAAGATTCGACTGAGCCGCGAGGAAGATCTCTACAAGCAGGAAATGATAAGGCTGGAAAAAGATCTGACGTGAGTATCGCCGCGTCCCTCTGGGATACCGCTGGAAGGCAAGTCGCGCGAAGAAGCGTTAACGAAACGTTTGCGAATTTCAGCGAGCTCGAGAGCACCGTGGAGGAGCTTCGCGGTAACGTGATCAATAGAAAGACGCGTGTCAATATGTCGGATGTCGAGAACATGGCTTTGATATTGAGTAAATCCAGGTAAGCCACGCGCGCGTTCGATCCCACTTGAGCGGAAGCGTCGTCGTCGCCGTCGCGCAGCTAAATGCGTTGGTAGAATTTTAGAAATGGTCTGCGCGATTTTCCATCTCTCTCCCTTTTTCTCTATCGGCGACAGAAAATTCGGGACAGAACGGACGATTTTTGTGACTGAATGCGGCGGCATGGATGCGGGATAATTTTACGGAATAACTTTTGCCTTCCAGCAAAACTGTGGCCGATCTGAAAGTACGATTCCCGAATTTGCAAGAGGGCATGAAGAGCCTGCTGAGCTCCGAGATGGAAAAAGTCGTGCGCGAGGAGAAGTTCCTGAAGGAAGAACCCGAACGACTGGAGTCCGCGTTGAGACGTTGCAAGAAACTCACCGGCACCCTCGTGACGCTCAAACGGTACGGCTTTTTAGTTCATTAGAATGTATCGACGCGAATTCTGGCTCGATAAGACTACCGAGTTTTCCCGAGGGCTTATAAGCGCGAAAATTCTTACGTGTCGTTTGCAAGGCTGAGAACTTATCAAACTGAAGAACCGGAGAGCGGGTGCAGCTATTGTCAAACGCTGGTTTTAAATTTCTCGAATTCACTCAACAAAATTTGAAGCGCGCGCCTAGTTTAAGTTCCAATTAAATCTCCTAACGCCAGTTCCTTGACCAGCCACGAGGTCTCAATGTGCGACTAGCGATCGGCGCAGCAGATTCTAAAAAGTAAAATAAATTAGAGATTCTAGCGCTAGATTTTCTTCTCTACTGACGAAACACGGTTTCTGTTCCCGGCTTAGCTTGGCGTCGGTGCAAGAGCAGCGATTACCAAACGCAGCGAGCGTAGACGCTGAGGACACGCCGCCTATAACACCAACGACGGCACAGCATTCCAAGGTAACCGCTCCATTGGCCCCGCTCGCTCGCTCGCTCGCTCGCTCTCTCTCTTCTCTATCTATCTCTCTCTCTCTATCTATCTCTCTTTCACACTATCTCTGTCTATCTCTTTCTATCTCTACCTTCTACCGAGACCCAATCCTCCCACCGATTTTCCGCTCCAATTTTTTCTTCGCCGTCGCGATCCCTATCCCCATAAAACGCACCTTTCCCCGATACCGGAAAGTACTGCGCCACCCGTTGCATGAGACATCCCCTCGAGTTTTCCTCGATCAATCCTCGTGTCACGCTTGAACATCCGTATCCACGTTCCTCCATCCCGGCCTCCTCTCCGTCGAGGAAGAAGAAAAAGAAGAATCGGGAAGACATCGCGAGAAGATGAGGGGGGTTCGTCGCGGGAATTCGCGAATCGCTAATTCTCGATTAGAGTCTCGGGGCGGTGCTCGGGCAAAGGGAATTTCTCGAGTCGTCGTCCTCGTTGCAGAAGCCCTTCTCCCTTTTTCCGTAGAGAGTGCGCGTAGTCGCGATACGATTCGTCGCGGACGACGCGTATTTCATTAGAGACTTGGCCCCGTCACGAGAAAACGTTCGCTCGGGAGGGTCGCGCCTTCCAACGCGATCGAAGTGCGGAGAATGTGAGATCCTACGAGTCTTCCCTACGTGCTTACAATCCCTCCTTCTCGTTGCGGTGCACATTTTGTCGTGTGGCACAACACTTTGTCGCGAGTGGCACGGCACACGCACACTCTGACACGCGTGATGATCGAGATATTGGCTTTCGCTAGGAGATGGGCACGTCGGACTTAACGGCCCAATTGTGGGCGCGACGTGTTCCAGAAGGAGTGCATTATATTTTCCACGATGTCGAGCGAGTATAGTTAGCGATTACTGCGACACTATTAAGTACGCCTGAACAATGAATAGAGCGGACGAGACTCGTTTATTTCCTCTTTGTTTCCTTCTTTTTTCTTCAATTCTAACAATTTTCGAATTATATGCCTTTAAAAATGAAGGATAACTATTTAAACACGAGCATGCTGCTCGTGTATAGATTGAAGCAAATTTCTTATTTTTTATTTTCAACAGAATTTTGATTCATTTATAGGATTTTATTATTTTTTTGGACCATTATAGTTTGATAACTAATGCCTTGGCGTATACGCAAAGGTAAAATCAACTTCGAGCGTCAGGTACTGTCGAATGTGAAGTACCACATTGTTTCCTCTACATTTTCAACAAAACGTTTTCTGTAAATATTATTAAACGTAGAAATATTTTCCCTTGCTATTATCACACAATAAAAAAGAAGTTAGATTTCAAATTCTTAATTTAATTGTACACTTATTATTTAAATAGTTAATTCAATTATTTCGATGTAGTGAATGAAAAATAAGAGTCGAAAGCTTGAACTAAACCGTACTTTGATAATTTTTTCTTTAACAGTAATTATTATCTATTATAATTGCTGCAAAAGCGATGAAAGATCATTAGTATAATAGTTTTGTAATATTTAAAATAGGTATCTGATTTTTTTACAAATTATAACATATAATATTGTTCGCGAAAGTTTTTGCTTTATCTAGCCCATATTCATATTTGTATGAAACATTAACTTCAGTGTATCATGCACGCGTTTGTTAAACCAAATTTAATTTCAAACTTTTTAAAAACTCTCTCTTGGAAAATGAGGCATTTCTTCTGGAACGTTTTAACAAACGTATATTACTGCGTAACTACTGAAGGTCCACGTAAATGCTAAACGAGACCATCATTTATCGTGCAATCGTTAAAGAAACGAACGACTGCAAAGTAAGTTAATCGCGATAAGCTGACTTTTCAATTTCTGCGTATTGAAAAATTTTGCTCACTATTTCTTTTTTTACAAAGTACAACGCGAGAAAACGTGTTCAATAAGAGTTCGATATGCAAGAAGACCACTGATTGTGCCCATCGCAGCTTCTTATTCACCTCTGCGAACTCGTCTCACCGAACACTGTCTCACACGACGGCAAATATTACAATCTGCTACCTGTCAACAAAGTAGAGCGTCGACGAGACCACTCTCCACGCTTCGTAGATCTTTCTTGTACCACATAAGTAAGCCGGTATGGTATTTTGCAAAGAGACGTGTACTACTATATCCGACCACTGCTTACCCCGTATCCTCATTATGCTAACAAGCGCATGCAACGAGTGATATAGAGTTTTGTTCTGGTACATAATATATAAATATGTCTATCACAACGTGAAATTACTCGCCTCTCTTTTTGCGTATACATATATGCATACGTCGTATACATACGCCGTATGCGTCATGTTGTATATACCTACGTACAATAATGTTTGTTCTAACGCGCACAACCTTTGTGACGCGCCGATCAAATATCATTGGTACACATACATAAATCGCTGCGATACGCGAGACCATCAAAAGTAGGCATCACTATATACGTATATGTATTATATAAAACGTCCGTCTGACTGTGCCTGATTATTAATTGAATTTTGAACGTGCCATCGCATGTGCAATAATCGTAGATACATGGGTCCTGGCGTACTCCCATCAAAATGCCGGACAAAGTAGATGTAATCTGCTATCGCCAGCATTAAAATTATCGCCGATAGTAATGTATAAATTATTAAATTTGCAATTTAATCAATGATAAGTAACTCTTAAACGACCTACACTGACCAATGTTTTTATTTAAAAAGCATTACAACGTTTCGGTCCCGGATTTGGACCCTTTTCAAGTAATCTGTTCACACAGAAAAGTTGTAGTGTTTTTTAAATAAAAACATCGGCCAGTGTAGGCCGTTTAAAAATTACTTATCATTGGTTTCAAACTGCTGGCGATATTAAATCTATTTGTGAGCTACGTTTTAATTTTACTCGAGATATACAGTGGTGGACAGAATGGTTGCGACACTGTTTTTTAATGAGTTTAGGTATGTGCATTTAGATTCAGGGTTGCGTTCCAAAATCTTCTTCTCCGAGGAATATTTTACTCGGCGGCTATTCCGAAACCATCTTGAGCGTTTTCGATCTATTTCTCGAGTAAAATTTCCCTCCAAGAAAATGTTTCGGAACGTAAATCTGAATCTAATCGCGCGTGCCTAAACTCATTAAAAACGTGTTGCAACCATTCTGTCCGTCACTGTACGCTTTCGTCAATTTTTAATATTGTTGAACTTGAATTTGCTTAATTGCAACGGTCGTCGGTCGATTATTCGAGAAGCGTATTGAAAATATACATTTCTAAATATACTGTTAATAAACGAAAACTAAGTCGCGTGAAATTTGTGGCTGTAGAATTAATTTAAAGTAACGTATCAACAGCAATTTCAAAGCCATAAGTAGAACAATGACGGCATAGTCAGACAGACAAGCTATCGGTTCGGCGGAAATGTATTTACGACGAGAAGTTGGCACACGTGAGCTACGCGAAATTAATAACGAGATATTTATTATTCGGCAATATGAATAGCCATATTGTTAACGCATCTCAAAGTTTTGCAACCCTTAGGTTTCCAATGCGCTGCGTTGATATCGTGATTCCGTAACCAAATTCTAACTTTTGATTCTGAACAATTTCAAAAAAGAAATGCGTGCAATGTAAAACTTCGCCCGCCTGCAAATTGCAAAATAGATAACGCGCAGTTGCAACAGTTGGTCGGGTCCTGATATCATTGCGCTTCTCCAGTGCTGATAAGCGCAACAATGAAACTTGCAGTTTTCTCCCAATCAAATGCAACTTCAAAATTGCATTTTGAATTCAAAATTATGGAAAGTTTCAAGGTAGATTATTGTCGAGTGTCGCGAGTAAAGTCATACGCTGTCTTCGATCGTCCAATTACAGACCCATAGCTCCATTTACCTTGTCCCTCGACTACCGTCATTTCGCATCACCATCGTTGACAGTACGAAATCTGATGTAAACCTTCTCACCGGCAACCAAACGATCGCCTCTTCACATACATCGTACAACAGTACACTTGTACGATACGTATCTTGACAAACCTGTCACTCGCGTGATGTGTATCTTAAGTTGACAAAGAAATTATTCACCGGTCATTCTAGAGAAATAGAATCCGACGACCGGACAGCACCGGAATAAAAATAATTTCATGAGTGTCGATAGCTGTCGCAATACTTAAAAAAAAATAACGGTGCTATATATTTTTAGTGCTACTTAAGTGACACTAGCACGTCACGAACTCGCTTTGGTGAACGTATTAGCGCTGAAAGATACTAACTGTCCCAGATAAGTATCGGCTATCAGACAGCTCTATCGTATAAACGATCGATCCTGGGACTAGTTCTGATTTATACGATAAGGCACTTAACTTCCTGGAAACGCGTTTCCTCCAATGTCAAGCTAAACCACTTCTTCTCCCACGTCGAAATTAATTCTTCACTTCGACCTGCCCTTTAATCGCATCGACCGCGAAGATCACGTTACGACACGGACTGTCTTCAACGAGGATCGCTGCTACGCGATGCGGTGCGGAGAACCATTTGGTGAACGTCTCGCCAGCCCCGCTCGTCACCGGAAAATGCCAACGTCTTCGTTTCTCCTCGGTTACGTGTGAAACACCGTCGACTCTCTCTTGCCATCTTCTTCGCTAACAATAAGCACGATCCTCCGGAGAATATAAAAAAAAGTGTTAACCGCATATACGAAAATGTTAACCGCATATACGATGATGGCTCTCTCTTTCTCTCTCTCTCTCTTTATCTCTATCTCTCTTTCTCTTTCAGTTGTTCTCTACCTATCTCTTTTTCGCGAATTTGTGCGTCTTTCCCTCTCTCCCCTCTCCGAAGATTCGTCTTTTTTCAAGCCGACAATTCGATGTCGCACGAAAGCATTCGGCGGAAATAAAATAAAATGTACAATTCTCCTACAACATCTCTCTCTCTCTCTCTCTCTCTTTCGCTCTTTTTTTTTATTCTTTCTATCTCTCTCTCTCTCTCTCTCTCTATCTCTATCTCTCTCTATCTC